TGGTTAGATTAGAAGATACAGACCCTGCATTTTGACCAATAAGACGTTAAAAAAAAGTCCAAAAGTTAATCGAGTATATGCTGGCATTACTCTGTAATAGTCCAATGTCTTTGCTCCGTTGTTTATTGCGGTTGTAGGTCTTGGATACAGAAGACTTTCCTGCATCGACCATGGATTCTCTTTTACAGTCCCAACTTCAACACTGTCCATCTGAGATTCGTATGGCTTTTTGGGGATAAATAGTCCAATACTAGCGGTAGCAACTAGTAGTCTTAGGTAGATAGTATTACCGGCAAAGAAAGGGGAGCCTGTAATGGCTATTTCGGGCTTATTCGCCATCGTCAACCAGTCATACCCAATCCCAAGTGGTGCACCGCCCATGCTCGAGGCTCAATGGTTAGAGTGTTGGACTCTAATAGAAAAGGGTCGCGAGTTCGAGCTTCGACTGGTGTGCCACTTGGAACTAAGTACGACTGGTTGATGACGTCTAATAAGCCAGAAATGTGCATTCCAGTCTCACTTGTCTCTGCTAGTAATGCTATCTGTCTAAGACTACTAGCCGCTACGGCTGCTGCCAGGACCCGAATAATGAGACCCAATCTAAAGCGGGAAAAGTGAGTTCTGTTAGCGGTCGGTGGACGTTCATCAATGACTGCTTGCTCTGTTGCCTGTCTCTGTCTCAGAGGCGCAGTTATTTACTATCGCTCTTATTCCAGTACACCAGTCGGTGCAAATATTGCTCGATTTTATCTGTGACACCCCTGCAAGAGTAAGAGCCTAAGCATACAATCTTTTCAAACAAAAAAGCATTGGATGAGGGTGGCAGCGTATTGACTACAGTTCCCTTCCTACACCTCCGACGTAATCTTTAGACCGCTGCTGGCCTACTTCTAGAACTAAGGCTGTATGGTGTGGCAGCCTGCGTTCGATATTGATGCGCTGATTCATCCCGTTCTCACTCTCCGAGCCTTTGTCTACCCACGCGCCCACCGCTGACTCATCCTCTTATCGAATGAATGAGAAGGTTTGCGATCCAGGTAAATGTATGGATGAGGAAGAAGGCATATCGAGCACCAGATCAACTGATTTATTGTTCTGAGCCTTCGAACTCTTACAGGAGTCCATCATCAGAGATGAGAAAGCAACCAAAAAAGAAGGTAATTATGGTGGCCATAGGCCAATCAACTGTCAGAAATCATCAGGTTGTCAAGGAGGTAGAAACAACAATCGAAAAGGGGTGGGGAGGAGGGTAGTTAGCTGTCAGTGGAGTGGGGGGCAATTGTTGTTTCTAACCCCTTGACAACCCGATGATTTCTGACAGTTGATTGGCCTATGGC